AAAAATGAGTTTCATTTTCTCCCCATTTTTCTCATAAATTTATCTTTGTATTAAAAAAATAAATTATTTTATCTAATATAATGTTCTGTTTTATTATGCACACATCATTTTTATTATCATTGGTAGCTTTTATTATAATGTAATAACTCTTACTACTGTTGAGTTTAAGTTGTAGGTTTCTTCATATTTTGTCACATCGTTTTCTTATTAAAAATTGTATAAATTTTGTTTATAAGTTTTTCTATATCATTTTATATTGGTTATTTTGGGGGACAAGTTTAGGCCATTATACATTATTATAAGAGTTATTTGATTAGTACTATCTTTTATCATTTTAGCAATTTTCAAGTTTCCTATCATTGCAAATTTTTGTTATAAATTTACTTTTTTCTTATTTTAATCTTTAGTGTGCTTTGCAATATAAGTATTTTATTTGTAATGGTTCATACATATTAACATAAGATATTCTGTAAGCATTTAACTCTTGTGCATATGTATGTATATAAATCTAACAAAATATTTTTTATAACTTTAGAGTAAAACAATATATTTTTATTTTATTGTTTACATAGAGCAAAATGTTATCTTACATTTACAACTGATTGTATATTGATAAGTATACACATTCTAAAAAGAATTTCCATCACTGCTGAAAGTTTCTCACCTACCGTAGGCAGCTACTATTTGGATTTTTTTTTAAAAATTACCATAGCTTTATTGGACCTCATTATAATGGAATTGTATAGCAGCAGCTAAGTTTTTTTGTAATCCTTTAGCTCATTATATGTTTTAAATTCACCAGTGTTACTCCATGTATCCGTAGCTCATTGTTTTTCACCGATCAGCATTATTATATTGCGTGACTACAGAGTACTTTTTAAAATCTGTTGTTCTAATGACAGGCATTTAAGTTGTTTCCAGTGCTCACTGTTAGGGATAAAAATATCATAAATGTTCTGGAACAATATATTTGTGGACTTACACTTTCACTTCTCTTGGCTAAAAACTTAGGAGTAGAGTACTGCATTGTAGTGTAAATTTATTTAACTTTATAAGAAACTGTCAAACAGATAATAGTATATTCCTATGTTTTAGAATTTTAAAACACTTCAGAGATTGTAATATGAAATAAAAATGTCCTCTCTGTCTCTTCACTTCCTCTTCCAAAAGTAGTCTGTCCTGACAGTTCTTAATCAAGAAATTTTGTATGCATCCATAAATAGCCATCTCTCAACCTCTACATGCATCTACTATTTTTTAAAAAGTGATGACAAAGCTTTCGCACAAATTTCTACCTTGCTAATTTTCACTGTGTATCTTGCACTATATTCTATATTATCTCATACTGATTTATCTATTTGCTGTTAATAGTGTCATGCTATCTTGAATACGCTTTTGTGAGATAGTTAAGCCAATGGAAGATCACAGAGAAAATGTCTAAAGATATTCTGCTGTGGCTTTTGATTAATATTTCTCAGAGAGAGCACTTTCCCAACATAGTTTAATATATTGCAATTGCTTATTTAAAAAATTTCTATTAACTGCTCTAAAATATGTATATATATATTTTATTTTTTTATTTTTTAAAGGCAATGCCACATCTCAAGGGTTGGTTCTATTTGGTGCCCCTAAGGAAGACACTGAAAGTTTTAATGAAAGTAAAACAACAAATACTGAAGGTGAGTACTGACTATAAATCATAAATTACATAAGCCATATTCATATGCATTTGTTAGTTTGTGATGTCAATATTTTTATTAAGAAATATATCCCATAGATAAGTAGTTAATGTAATACTGATATGTAATATTAAAATAAAATGTAATATGTTATGTCAATGATATATAGTCAATGTCAATTTAGGCTCATAAGAATTGTTAAACAATTTCAGAAATGTATGTATTTTAAAAAGAACCATTCTCTTTTAAGACAAGGCTGGCAGGTGCTAGACAACTTTTCTAGTTCATTGGGAATCTTTTTGTTAGAAGAAAAAAGAAAAACTATTGTTCTGGGTGTGTGAAATTCACAATTTAAAAAATAGTGCAATAAGAATCTGTAAACATTTATTTATGAAAGCTTTTCTAATATTGTATATGGAAAGAGGTAGAAAAAGATGAGGAAAGGTATACCTTTATCTATTGGGTTCATACTTGTTTCTTCTCAGATCATTCTGGTAAAGAACTCTTAATATTTATCAATAATTTTAAATCTTGATTTTGAAAAATGTTTGCTCTGGGGATTTTTCAGTTTTACAAGACAAAATTGGAATAAATTACCATTACATTCTTTCATTTGTTTGTTTCTGTCCAACAGAAATATTGAATAAGATTTTAAGAACTTGGCTTAGAGTTTATTGCTCATATGTTTTGGACAAATTGTTAAAATATCAAATGAATGATTTATGAACCAATTAATACAAGACACTGAAATATCTATGTATTATTAGGGTACAGAGATGTTAAGAAATGGCTCTCATAAGAAGTGTATAATCTTGTAGGCCAAATAAAATACGAGGGGTGACTCCCAAAAACTGGAATTCTCCTTTTGGAGGGCAAGCCTCTTAGAGTATAGGCTTCCCCTGCTAGGTAAGTGTTCTAAGAACCTATTGACATCAGTGTACCAGCTAGCATTGTTGTAAGAGGATGCATTTGGCTTCAGTTAATTTTTTTTTTTTTTTGAGAGTCTTTCAATGCATTTTCCTGTTTCATGATGGGTGATTTACAAGGATACCTTCTCACACCACCCTGAGTGTTCAGTAGTTTTTGACGCAGAATAGCACCCTCCCTGTTCACCCAATCTCACCCAGGGTGACTTTTTTTTTGTTTTCCCAAATAAAAAAAATCTTCAAAGGGAAATGTATTGCCAACGTGGAAGAGGTGAAACAAAAAAATGACAGAAGCACTACAAGACATCAAAATCGACAAGTTCAAAAACTGTTTTGAGCAGAGGAAAAAGCATCTCTATAGGTGTATTAGAGCAAATGGAGAGTACTTTGAAGGTGACTGAAGTTTAAACATGTACGAATAAATGCACAACTTTTTTATTGATAAATACTGTTTTGGAGGGATACCCCCTGTATATGATGGATAATTCTAAGTTAGAAGAAAAGAATATGAATGTATACAACAATTGGTACAATACAACAGAAAAGAGTGCTAGTGTAGAGTAACAGCAGAGATTATACAAAGCAGTACATGTTAGATGAACACCATGGACGCGAAGCGTCTTCAATATTTTGAATAAGGCCAATTTGTATGGTGTTTAAGCATGAAGTAAATGTTAATGGTTAAAGAGGATGTGACCTAAATTTTAAAGAGTGCATTCATGCACGAAAAGAAAACTGAGGAAAGAATTTAAGCAAGCAGAGCAGAATGTGTTAATAGTGAGAAAATAACACAAATATAAGAAGGATAGTCTACTTTGATTGTAATGTAGGAAAGATTCAGAAACCTGAGTATGGTTAAAGAAATGTAGCAATGATTGAGCCAGAGACAAAGGGCATTATGAATTTCAACTCAAGAGTGTGAATGTTATTTCTCAGTCTCTGGTCCTATGTATATTTTGAGTAAGGATGTTATATGATAAAATCCTTTGTTTGCAAAGTCTAAGCATACTATGCAGAACTGTGTGGCTACAGGAGGAGATACAGAAACTGATTTTTTATTATTATATTTTAAGTTAAAGTAGCAAAGACCTAATCTATAAAGGATCAATGGATATGAAAGAGATTAGAATATTGCAAAGGAATTATTAAGATTTGGTGACTGATTTGTCCCTATAGGGTTTGGCTAGTCTCTATATGTAGATGTGAGGACTTGATTGAGAAGATGAAGTTTCAAAGGCGATTCGCCTGTTGCAGACTTTGATAACAGGAAGAGAGAAGCATGAAAGGAAAGGAGGTTGAGCGGAGTGAAGATGAGTTTAGTTTTACAGATACTGGATTTGCAAATGAAGTTGGTCCTTTCAAGACTACCTCTGCCTGGCTGACCTTGACAAAATCCAAATGTTTAAAACAAAATAGATTGGGCACAGAGGAGAGGGTAACAAAAAGTCTTATCTTGGAACATTTTTACTCTCTTATTCTTTTATTTGTCAAATCATTTATGAGGATCCATTCTGGATCCGACACCATTTCACTGTACTGTACCAGACCCCTTCCATCTTGATGCTCCCTCTAGACCAGCGCTTCCCAACCTTTTGAACATCAGGGACCAGTTTCGTGGAAGACAATTTTTCGATGCACCATGGAGATCAGGGGGTGGAGGGTGGTTTCGGGATGATTCAAGCATATGACATTTACTGTGTACTTTATTTCTATTATTACATTGTAATATATAATGAGATAATTATACAACTTAGACACCTCACCATAAAGCAGAATCAGTGGGAGCCCTGAGCTTGTTTTCCTGCAACTAGATGGTGCCATCTGGGGGTGATGGAAGGCAGTGACACCTCAGATCATCAGGCATTAGATTCTCATAAGGAGCACGCGCACAGTTTACAGTAGGATTTGCGCTCCTATGAGAATCTAATTCCACGGCTGATCTGATAGAATACAGCGTTTGGGCATTAATGTGAGTGATGGTTAGTGGCTGTAAATACAGATGAAGCTTGCTCACTCATCCACTGCTCACCTTCCACTGTGCAGCCCGATTCCTAACAGGCCGCAGACGGGTAGCTGTCTGTGGCGTGGGAGCTGAGGACTCCTGCTCTAGAGAGGCCCTTATCTTTTCCAGTTTTATGTTGATCATAGAAATGTATTCCTTTTCCTCTGTAGCATCTCCACTTTGGCATTTTAGTGTGCTGATGGGAATATTTTTTTCCTTGTTTGTGGTGTATCAAGTTAATGTTACATTCTAGTTTTAACTGTCATGCTTCTCCCTTTCTGCATAGAATCCTGCAAGTCCAGTCTTCCCTTCCCTACTCTCTTGAAAGGATAAGTTTTGGAAATGCGTACATTTGACAAGAGGCTCAGGGTAAAGTTAGTCTAAATCTGTTTAATGGAGAGTTAAACACTTACAAGAGGTAATTTAAGGAAGAGTGTAGAAGAAAAAAAAAATTTCTTACCAGATAGTCATGGTTGAAAATTATGAAGAGAAACAGGCAGAGACGTTATTAAAGAAGGAGAACATTTCAAAAAAGAACTATCTACATTGTTTTGTAGTATAAAGAGTTAACAGAAAAGGAGGATGAGACAAGTTATTGAATTAGTGGTCTTTTTATAAAACAGATGTATTGAGGTAAAATTTAAATGCAATAAATGCACTCAATTTAAGTATATAGGTCAATGACTTTTGACAAATATACACATCCATTTAATCACCACTTCAAACAGGATGTAGAAATTTCTGCCTCTCCAGAAAGTTTATTCATGCCCTTTGTAGTCAATATCCCTTTACCCTACCACTACAATCACGGTATGATTTCAGTTTTACCATTCTAAAAATTCACATAAATAGAATTATTCCATCTGTACTTTTTCGTTTTCAATTTCTTTCAAAGACTCAAGAAAACGTCTGTGAAATTCATCCATGTTGTTGCATATAGCAGTAGTTTGTTCATTTTTATTGTTCAATAGTATCCCTTTGTATGAATATTATATAATTTATCCATTTATTTATTTGTAAAAGTTGGTGTTTTTTCCCAATTTTTGGCTATTATGAATAAATCTATCATGAACATTTACATACAAGTCTTTTAATATACATATTTTTATTTATCAAGGGTAAATATAAAGAAGTGAAATGCTGAGTCTTGGTAACTTTATGTTTAACTTTATAAGAAATTGTTTCTAAAGTGTTTCCACCATTTTACACTTCCACCAGCAGTGTTTGAATTCCAGTTGTGTTACATCCTCTCTAATACTTGACCTTGCCAGCCTTTTTTTTTTTTGAGTTGGAGTCTCACTCTGTCGCCAGACTGGAGTACAGTGGCCGCTCCCGGCCACTGCAGCCTTCACCTGCTGGGCTCCGGCGATACTTCCGCCTCAGGCCAACCTTTTTAATTTTAGGCATTATAATAAGTGTGAAGTAGTATTGCACTGTTCTTTAAATTTAATTTTCCTGATTACTAATGATGTTTAGCATCTTTTCACATGGCTGTTCGTTATCTGTACATTGTCTTTTGTGAAAAACCCAAGACTTATGCCCATTTTCTGAATGGTAAGTTGTAAATTTTCTCTGCACATTTCTCTGCACATTCTCAGGCCCTTCTCTGTATTGCCCTGTCTTCTTCAGTTTCCTGCCCTTTTCCAGATGCTTCCATTGCCCATGAAACCAACATTTGTTTCTCTGTTCAGCAGGATTGCCACACTCTGCTCTGTTTCTAGATCTTTGTATGACAGTTGGGAAATCGTTCCTTGTCAAACAGCTTGGTGATTGTAGGACTCAACTGCGTACATTTTCATTTTCTCTGGAATTAAAGCCTTGTGCGGCCTATTTTCCAATGTCTGAAAACAGTTGTCTCATATTTTAAAATCTAATTCTTTATCAGTTACTTCTTCATAGAGGGTAGTGGAAATACTGCTTAATGGGGTTTGAGAATGAAGTATGCATGAAGTGAAGAAAACAGAAGACAGGGCACAGTACAGCATGGTAAAAAAAATGTATTTGATCATTCAAAAATTATTTTAAGGCACATAATATAGTTAATGTCCATAAAGAATGTAAAATATAATTGGGAAGCCAGATGGGGTAACGGATACATGTGATGACAGCAAAATGCAATGTGATCAGTTCTAATAAAGAGAAATAGAAAGTGCTGTGGTTGCACCCAAATATCAAAAGATTTCCGAATTCCACATAAAGAAAGGAACCATGTAAATGAATTTTGACATTTGCATGCAAATTGTACTTTTTTTTTTGAGTTGAGGTCTCACATTGTTGCCCAGGCAGGAGTGCAGTGACACAAAACTTGAGCCTTGAAATCCTGGGTTCAGGCAGTCCTTCTACTTCAGCCCCTGAGTAGCTGAGACTACAGGCATAACCATGCCTGGCTAAGTGTAATTTTTTTGGAGTGACAAGGTCTCACTATTGTGCCCAGGCTGGTCTTGAACTTCAAGACTCAAGTGATCCTACTGCCTCTGCCTTCCAAAATGCTGGGATGACAAGCATAAGCCATCACACCCAGCCCAGATTGTAATTTTAAGATATAAGAACATTTGAATATGTGGATGGCAGCATAAACTGTTCGCTTGAAAACAATTGCTAGTCAAAGCAACATTCAATATAGAATAACAACTATTGAAAGTGGTGAGAATGGAGCAGTGTCCTTCGTCACTTCCAGCTCTGAGAGTCAATGTGTGCTATTAACATTCTACTTATTCAGACAGATGTCTCCAACAATGTAAGGTCCAATGTAAAACATAATAATCTAATTTCAGTGAAGGGTATTTTTCTTTCCCCCCATGTATAGCAAAACATAAAGGGAACTTAGTTTTTCATAAGAGATTAAAGACACTTTCCACTCATCACAACAGAGGCTTTGCATGGAGGAGAAATCATTTCTAACCTCAAGAGCACTAACTTATTTTACATTTTGGCAGGAAAGCCAAGATGTTAAAGGGGATAACAATGTGGAAAGGAAATTTGTGTTCAGCTATGTTTTTTAAAAGAGTACTGAACTGAGATAAGAAAGATAAAGAATAATTGGGATGATATACATAAAGGCAGCTCATATTATTTTTTTTTTTTTGAGTTGGAGTCTCACTCTGTCGCCCAGACTGGAGTGCAGTGGCCGCTCCCAGCCACCGCAGCCTTGACCCGCTGGGCTCCGGCGATCCTTCCGCCTCAGCCTTCCGAGTAGCTGGAATTACAGGCACGCGCTGCCACGCCCGGCTAATTTTTTGATTTATTGTAGAAATGAGGTCTCGCCCAGTTGCCCAGGTGGGTCTCGAACCCGCGGGCTCAGGCAATCCACTCACCTCAGCCTCCCAAGGCGCGGGATTACAGGCTGAGCCACCGAGCCCGGCTAGGCAGCTCATATTAAAAGCAGAGGGGGAAAAGACTATTGTGATAAAATGTTAAATCATTGGGGCTGGGTGAATAAAGTCTGTTAGGATCAAATTCAATAAGCAAGGAGAATTGACATTTATAAACAAAGTATTTCTATTTTATTTTCCCACACAATCCGCCAGCCTACATTTTTCCTCAGTTGGGAGTTTCATGTTGCAGAGTCTCAGAAAAATCTCAACTCTGACTCAGAGTAAGAAGGATCTTGCTTTTATAAGTTCATTTTGAGCAAGAAAGTTGCAGCTGGGGGCACGTTTAGAAAGAATGTGAGTCCTGCCTGAGCTCAATTCTTTAAATAATCACGTTGGCCATTTTTATACAGGTTTCAGAGGAGAAGCTCTGTCAATTTATGTTTGGCTAAAACTATTAACTCATTGTATCATGGAATTTTAGGTGAAAAAAGATCTTATATAAAACTCTCCTGACACATTCGTTTAAGTGAGAAATCTGAGGTGTGGAGACTGCATAGTTTTAACTAAATATGTACAGCTTGTTATCTGTTAAGTTAAAAAAAATGAATGAGCACAAATACTTAGTTCAGCAATCTTTTAATCATATCATACTTTCTCCTTAAGCTGGGTAAAACTTTAAAAATTGGAAAGTTTTAACTTGCATCATGCTTGCATTGGAATAAAAACAGGAATAAAAACTAAATTTTGATTCTATTTTGTACTAGTTATGATGCCATGTCTTTTACAGGTTTTAGTGAAAATTTTATTTCATAGTATTTCATACTCCCTACTTTATTACATGTAAAATCCTAAAACTAAGCCATTGGAGTACTATGGAAATTAACCAGGATCCACAAAATAGGTTGAGAGGGGCACAGTCAAGAAAAATGTGAAATGAATCTTTACTATCCTTGTTTCCTCCACATTTTTTTTTTTTTTTTT